TTTTTATTTTTTATTTTATTAATTAGGCTAAATATAAATTTTAAATATTACCTCTAATATAATTCTTAGAAAATGTATTTTAAAATAACTCATTAAATAAATAATCAACAAATAATTAAATTTAATTATAGAAATTATATTTTTTGGACATTTGTGTACATTTTGAAAGATATATTTATGTTTTATTTCACCACATGGGTCTCCAACCAGCTCAGAATAGTACATAGTATCACAGAGTTTTGTCCTATCAGCATTAGTGTCCTTGAGAAGTGCACTAAGCCCCCGTCCTCTATCAGGGGGGACTGTCCCTTCGATAAGTGTACTATAAGCAGCTTACAGGGGGAAACATCTGCTAAATGACAAGTAGCAAGTCCAAAAGTTGAGGTTTCAGTTCCTCTCAACAGTCCACTACTCTACAAATAGAGATTACAGCCATGTTGCATCATAAACTAAACACTAAAGCAGAATAGGAGATTCCCACTCTGTTCACAAAAACAGAGAAACAATGAGAAATCAAAATGTTTGAGGGGCATTTTTGGACAAATAAAAGTAGATTAGTCAAAACTAAAATTCCTATCATCATTTATTCAACCTCAAATCTCTCTAAAGCATAAATATTAACTGTTAGAAATAAACAGCTCCACAGCTCATTATTCACAAGTATTTATAGGATATTTAATCACATTATCGTATTTTGATAAATTTTTGATGTTATAAGTTTTACAAAGTGATATTCTTTTTAACATTTGTATCACTTTGAAAAATACTGTAGAATAAATAATTGATTTTGAAATAGATCAGCAAAGGAAAGTCCAAATAATGACTAAAATCCATTTGTTAAACCTTTTACATTCAAACGTTGTAAGAGCATAGTCCAACATTTCATTTCACAACTATACAAAAACAAAGAACACCAATGAATCGTTAAAAAAAGGAAACATCCATGGTACACTGTTCCAACAGTACACTGTTCATACTTGTAAACCTCGCAGTTCCTTCTTTTACTCCATTTTTGAAAACCCCATAATAAATTAGTCACATTTCATAATTCATTCACTCATTCATTTTCCTTCGACTTAGTTGCTTATTTATCAGAGATCGCCACAGCGGAATGAACCACCAACTATTCCAGCATATGTTTCATGTAGCGGATGCCCTTCCAGCCATAATTTAGTGGCAAACACCCATACACTTTTGCAACAGTCAAATAAAAATATGTTACAAACAAGTAAAAAAGTAATCCAAAAGTAATCCAAAAGTAGTCAGAATACATTACTTAATAAAAATGAGTAATTTAAAATTGCATTGCTGTCTAAAATTAATTCGTTATCAGTAACGGAAGTAATCAACCAGCACTTCCATTACACTGTATATAATGTAAATAAAAAAGAAAGAACAGCATGATTGTCATGGTTACTGTCACATTTAAGGAATAGTTCCCACAAAAAAATAAAAAATAAAAAATAAATAAATAAATAAATAAATAAATAAATAAATAAATATTAATTCTGTCATCATTTGTCCTACTTTCTTCTGTAAACATAAAAGAAGAATTTTTAAGCTGGGAAGTTGGTATTTGTTGTTCCTACAATAAAACACATTTCCTGATGTTGATGACTTAAAGTAGCAGTCAACTGAAAATCTGTGTTACAAACAAGTCAAAAAGTAATCCATAAGTAATCCAAAAGTAGTCAGAATAAATTAATTAATAAAATTGTGTAATCTAAAATTGCATTGCTGAATAAATGTACAATTTGTAATCAGTAATAGAAGTAATCAACCAGCACTTCCATTATATATTATCTAAATAAAAAAGAAAGAACAGCATGACTGTCAGTAAATGGTAACTTTCAAATTTAAGGGATAGTTACCACAAAAAGAAAAAAAACTGTTCTTTCATTTGTCTTTCTTTCTTCTGTTGAACACAAAAGAAGATATTTTGCAGTAAGTTGGGATAATATAAAAAAAAAGTTATGTTATCCAAAAAAATGTAATAAATTCCATAATATTTGTTGTTCCTACCATGAAAGGTTTTCAGCTTTTTTCAAAATATTGTCTTTTGTGTTCAACAGAAAAAAGAAACTAATAAAACTTTAAACTACTCAAGGTTTTTTGTTTCACCACATGGGCATCCAACAAGCTCAGAATATTAAAGGTAATATAAACATATTTACATGATAGATTTAACACATTTCATGATGTTGATAACAAAGAAAGTAACTCTATCAGTCTAATGAAAACTTGTAATCCAAAAAGTAATCTAAAAGTAGTCAGAATGCATTACTTAATAAAAAAAATAGAAATCTTAACTTGTATTGCTGTCTAAAATTACAAATTTTCATCAGTAATCATTTGTCTTTCTTCAGTTGAACAAAAATATAGATATTTTGAGGTAAGCTGGAAACCTGTAACCATTGACTTGCACAGTATGTGTTATTCCTACCATGAAAGGATTTCAGCTTTCTTCGAAATATCTTCTTTTGTGTTCAACAGAAAAAAAAGAAACTCATAAAAACCACTCAAGGTTGATTAAATTCCCATTTTTAGGTGAACTATTTCTTTATGTTGAAACAAAATGGCTGAACAGCATCAATGAGAATATTTATCAAATATATGCTCTACTGCATTTTGTATATTTTACGTTTAGATTTACGATGTTGACCGAATGTCTAGAAGTGAGTAAAGCAAACAGCCGTTGTTTGTTCTCCACACAAACCTACAGAGAGGTTTGAGGTGACAGACTTCTCATTCAACGCTCACAGTTACACCTTCAATACACAATTCCTGCACTGTTACAGGATCCTGAGGAAGAACCACCTCTAGATTATACAATATACAGGCCTTTACTAACTCACTGGGGCCTTTCAAATGATAAAAGTTCCAAAATTGCATGATCAAACCTTGCATTGGCATAAACAGACGGATAAAGTCAATGGTGTTATTGGATGACAGAGTTTCTGAAACGATTACTAGAGTTTCGTTATCAGAATCACATGTAGATTTTATGTAAAGTTTTTTTTTTGTTGTTTAAATATAGCCGCATGCAAATAGATGCTGTACAAATAGGGAAACCCCTTTTGCCTACATTCATATTCCCAAAAGGATTATTTTCAAGGAAATGAAGGAAGGTTAGCTGTTTCTTTGACTGAATCTTTACTCTAGCAAACGGTCGCTACTGTAATAAGCCTGTTACAGTTGCAACTCCTTCAAATTGGATCAAAATGCTCAAGCATTTGCAACAAAGCTGAATGGGCTCTTAACCTTGATCTCGTTTTGTAATGAACTGAGAGGATTAAAACAAAATAGACGTTCTGATGCAATCACATGCAGTCGTGAATGCAACAACATGTATTTTTCTTACAGTAATAATAAAAAAGGTGAAGCATGGACCTTGGAAAGAAGGTTTAGTGGGTCTTTTAATATGATTTTCCAGGAAATTGAAAAGATTAAAACATGGAGCCCTTACAAAATCATATAGATCTAGTTTCAGAGAAAGCCTACACTCTCAGAAATAAAGGTATGCGATCTGTCACTGGGGTAGTACCTTTTCAAAAGGTAAACATTTGTACCTATTGGTACCTCAAACGTATATATTAGTACCTAAAAATGTTAGGACTAATATACTGTTGAGGTATTAATATGGACCTTTAAGGTACAAATTTTTCATTTTGAAAAGGTACCACCCCAGTGACAGCTCTCAAACCTTTTTTTCTGGGAGTGTATTAAAATTCATCAGCTGAATTGGCCTGTCAATGAGCAAAACAGAAATACAAACGTACAAAAAAATAAATAAATGTAGTAGGAGGTCAAACATTAAGATTCAGTAAAATAACTAAAATAATTCAGATTATTTAAAGATCATTGTTACTATATACAAGCCTGTAGCCAGCCTATTGAAAGGGGTGTTCTTTTTTTTTGAAAAGGTGGAGCTTTGTGCAGTTATTCACCTTGTGCAAGGTTTAAATACTGCGTTTTAGTAGCATTTCAAGCACAGATTTTTGCTGGATCAGCTTGTCGGGTGGTAATCATAACCACACTTTTTATTGTACAAAATGATGTGCTCACCATATTTTATTATGAAGTATTTATTCACAAATTTGCATTTAAACTGTAAATTATTACAGTTTTAGATATAATGTTACAAGATTAGCACTTTAAATAAAACCATAGTAATAAAAAAAGAAATATGAAAAAAACACTTATTTTTAAATACATTTTTTTATCATCTATTATTTAAGAAAAAAAGGAAACTGGTAAAACTTGTTTTAAACTAAAAAGTTTTTTTAAACTTCTTTGGTGCGTTAATCTTGTCAATACTATTGTTCAAAAAGGTCATGATTTGCACTTTCATTTCATATTTCATTCAATTTGACCACTTGAATAATTAAACATTTAATTAGTCTTAAAACCTTCTTCTGGCTGTAAATTTCACAATTTATGATGTCATAGCAGTCAAAAATGGGACAAATCAGGATTTAAAGGCCAAATTCTGGACCTTTTCAGTGGGGGGGTCAATCTTTCGAACCACCCAAACCCCCGCTGGTTACAGCCCTGATATATTTGTTCACATATAAAGAGTTTAGATGCAAAAAACTCTAAGTGCCCTGTGAAATTCCTATCACTAATTTTTCTCAGCCTCCTTTGTTTATGTTGTGTTTTTTCACTTTAAAGACCATGTAAAGATCTTATCTTTTGCTGAAAAACTGAAATTACTGAACCTACACAGATGGCATTTAGAGGTTTTTGCATATGCTTGTGGAATTCACAAACAATTGTTTCAAATTATGTAAATAAAAATATTTCAACATGTCTATAATAAATTTAATGTGAATAATGTGATGAGCATGAAAGCCCACGGCATAAACATGAAACTTACATCAGCTACTTTAACCCAAGGAAAGACTGACGTCCACATACGTCAGCGGTACGGCAGCCAATCACCGCGCACCACGACGGTAGAAAAAGAACGCTCGCGTTTCTTTCCTTCAGTTTTCAGAGATCTAAGGGGAAGATAATACAAGGAATTAAGGCGATTTTTTTCGGAAATTTCCCACCCCTAATCAAAACAGAAGGGGTCTCAACACAGATCCTAATCCAGACAACCACACAAAAATGGTCGTAGTTACAGCAGGGACCGGAGGAGCCCACAAAGTCCTCCTGATATCGGGAAAACAGAGCGCTTCGACCGGCGCGACACAGGGCGGGTACAGCCGCTCAATATCTGTCATGATACCGAATCAAGCCTCTTCAGATTCAGACTCCACCACCTCTGGACCACCACTGAGAAAACGACAGAGACTCACACATCTGAGCCCAGAGGAAAAAGCACTTCGAAGGTGAGGCGAGCTCGGATTTATTTTGACAAATGTGTTAAGTCTCAGTGGCGTAGCGGACGGGCCCGCAGGGCACGCACCGCGGGGGGGCCCCGCGTGATTAGGGGGCCCCACGTCGTCGCGGTTTTCAATAATTTAAAATCCAGGAACCGCAATAATCAAACTCTTGGGAACAAGTGTAGACGGAACCAAAGTTCACAGGTCTGTTTTCTCTGAACACCTCTCAAGCGGTGGACTACTTCATTCTGATTGCTTGCCGCCGAACCGCGTCATAGCCAATGAAGACGCGCCGCTGTTTCTCGACACCGGTTCTCGTTAAAAAATGAATGACTTCTGGCTACTTTTACGCTCTCGCCGCTTTCGGTTTGTGATCGCTCCTCAGTTTGTGTAGGATTCCCCGCGTTGTCGCTCCACTCCGCCTCCTTTTCCCGCACCTCAATTTGTGACATAGATATATACACTAGATATCGCATAGGGACCCTGAGCATGCGTCAATAGCGCCGCCACATTGGTACAGTGCTCCCAGGACAAATGTCATTCAACCGCACTAGACAAGTGTTATTACGTGAAGATGCGGGACTGTAGCGCTGTCTACGAGTGTAGTAACGAGCAAACAAAGAAAACAAAGCACAAAGGCAGAACATTCAATAGGTAGGATAAAGTTTTTTACGTTTTTGTATGTTCTGAAATTTGTGCTAATCAGGTAACGTTATTGATGATAATAGTCACTTACTGCATTCAGCATAAGGCAAAGTAGCTCCAATTCGCACTAAACACTCGGCTTATGCTAGTATTGTTGAATAAAATCAGCAAACAATGAAAAAGAAATATGACAACGAGATGCTGCGCTGCCAGAAACTTGTATTATTGTCAGCTAGTGAACGAGTCGTTCATAACGGAGATTCAATCACAAACGAATCGCTCCCCCCGTCAGTATGAGCAGTGAAAGCAGGAGAGGAGCTGTGTTTCAGCACATGATTAGATCAAATTTAACAGGGAGGGTGAATAGTACATTTCTGTACACACAAACACAAGCTTTTTGTCAGGAATGCCCGTGCGATAAGTGATCCATCAATGTAGAAAAGTGATGTAAAATTATAATTTTCATAATTGAAAAAAAATAAAAATACTAACATCCAGGAAAACTCCCGATCATAGATATATGTGTATATCTCTGGCTCTGCCGCCCCCAAACCCCCCCGACCCCCTTGAAAACTGGGGGCCCCATCGGTGATCCCTGCAGGGGGGCCTCCGCATTTTGCGCTACGCCACTGTTAAGTCTTCTAGCGTGCTTCGTTCAAAACGAGATATCTTTATCAGTGCGCGAATGTTTAACGTTACTTTTATATATAGACTGTCGAATTTGTACGTTTCAGGAATGCTAACGCTTTAAACGAACCAGTTTGACCCTTCCATATGGAAGACTTTGAATCCCTGCCAAGATCAGTGGGTTTTGCCGGTCAGTCCCTCCCCCTCTGAATCAATATACTCACATCTGCCTGCGTGGCAGGAGCGAGACCGCGCATGCGCCATTTCCTCAACACTCTTTCAGCCCTGCCAAAATGGATTGCATAATAATAAACCTGGTTCAAATAACAATGTAGAAAATGAATAAACTGAAATTGTATAGTCACTGTATCATGTCCCAGATAAAAATGTATTTATTTTCTAGCTATAAATGTAAAAAATAAATAATAATCATAATAATCATGTTTTTTTTTGTTTTGTTTTTTAGGAAATTAAAGAACAGAGTTGCTGCACAGACAGCAAGAGACAGAAAAAAGGCAAAAATGGGGGAGTTGGAACAGCAAGTGCTGGAGTTGGAGCTGGAGGTACTTTGACCATTGTTTTGCTTTTTTTCTATTTGATGTACAAGGATCTTTGTAGTTCAGAAGACAAATGTAATTATAAATGATGAAATAAAATAATAATAATGTTTAGATAATTTATGAAAATATAATTTTGCTGTTTTCCACAGAATCAGAAACTTCACGTTGAGAACAGGCTGTTGCGAGACAAGACGAGTGATCTGCTCAGTGAGAATGAGGAGCTGAGACAGAGACTGGGGTTGGATACCTTGGAAACAAAGGAGCAGGTAAACGATTTGGACTGCTCTCAGCAAAACTCACACTTCACAGAGGAGCTGTTTAATATTATAATTATTATTTGATTTCCTACTAAAGCTTTTCATTGTCGTTTAGGTTCAGGTACTGGAGTCCGCAGTGAGCGATTTAGGTTTGGTGACCGGGTCTTCTGAGTCCGCAGCACTCAGGCTACGTGTGCCTCCGCAGCAGGTGCAGGCCCAGCAGTCCCCAAATCTGAAGACTTCACCATGGATACTCACAGCCCTGGCCCTGCAGACTCTGAGGTAAATATCTCTTGCTCTAAGTTTTTGGATTTTGGAGGTTCATTTAAAACCATTAACTAAAAGGAAAAAAAAACTGTTTAAAAAATTGTAACAAGTCCATAACAACTAAAATGACAATGGCATAGGAAAACAATATTGAGATGATGAAAAAATGGCCAGCCAATCACAATTCATCTTGCTTGAGCATGCAAAATAAGACACAACATCAGCATACCTACAATAAACAGTAGTATTATACATTGGCGTGGACTATTATATTAAAAGAAAACCATAAAAAGGCTAATCTGTTATTTCCACTATAACGTAAAAACGTTGCTGTCGTCTTGTGCTGACGATGTCATTTGGAGCCAGAGACCGTGTAGCAGTCATCGAGATCAAATGCACAACAATTACATCCACACAACTGTGACGCTACATCTGTTTTTATAACACAAAATGCTAACTGAAAGCACCTTTATTCAAATAACAAATGTTTGAAGTATAGATCATGAGAACTCCCTAAAATGCCAGAAACCATAATTTTGAAAAAAAAAATGGAGTAAAATAATTCTAAATTTGCTTTTATTTACTTCAAAAAGGGTGCGGTTTATGACATACTGCAGCCAGTCAACAGGGGGCGCTCAATTTATTTAGCTTCAAATTTCAGATGTTTGGATGCTAGCATGCTTATTCTCTATGAACCGTTGACCATTTACACTGCAAGCAAATCTCATTAATCACGACCAAATCTTCTCTAAACATGCATTTATTAAAATATCATTACCTCACGAACAATATCTTTTTCCTCTTCGCCTGCAGTCTGATCTCCTGCTTGGTATTCTGGACATCCTTGACCCCGAGCTCTTCCTCAAGACAGACCTTCCTGAAGCACAGGAGCCTCAGCAGGAGCTCGTGCTGGTGGGGGGTGCAGGAGAGCAAGTACCTTCCTCCGCACCTGCAGCTTTGGGGCCCGCACCAGTTAAGCTGGAAGCCCTTAATGAACTGATCCACTTCGACCACATCTACACCAAACCCGCAGAGGTGCTGGTGAGCGAGGAGAGCATTTGCGAAGTTAAAGCTGAGGATTCCGTCGCCTTCTCTGAAACCGAGGAAGAAATCCAGGTGGAGGATCAAACGGTTTCTGTCAAGGACGAACCGGAGGAAGTGGTCATCCCTGCGGAGAATCAAACTCCAGACGCGGCTGACGACTTCCTGTCTGACACCTCTTTCGGCGGCTACGAGAAGGCTTCGTATCTGACGGATGCATATAGTGACTCTGGATATGAGAGGTCTCCTTCCCCTTTCAGCAACATTTCATCCCCTCTTTGCTCCGAGGGCTCGTGGGATGACATGTTTGCATCCGAACTCTTCCCCCAACTGATTAGCGTCTGAAAGTTTGCATACGATTGCGAATACCGCTTGCCTTTGCTCCTTTATTGTACGTGATTGCCACGTGCAACATAGTGATAATCTGGCAGAAGCCGCAGCATATAATCCTGCCATTTTTAGACCAAAGGCTTTCTGTTGATAAATTGTGAGTCTGTTTGTGCGCAAGACTTTGTTTGCAACTTTATGTACAGTTCAAACGTGACCCAGTATTTTTGTCGGGGGAAGGGGTTTGGGGATAATCGTTTTAAAAGTAGACCTATTTATTTGTACCTCTCCAGAGTTTTCTGTAATGTAATCTAAGATGCTTATTGTATAACTTTAATTTTATTGTAAATGCTCTCCTCAATCATAATGCATTAAAAAAATTTGCATTGCAGAACGTGGTTTGATTTCTGACTGAATCCAACACCTCTCACCGCAATTCATAACGTTTTGATTTAGAGACTAAATCGATTTGAATTTGTACGATCTCATTGGTATAATTTTGTACGGTTTGCGTCTCCCTAAATGACGATTGGGTTTAGGGGTGGGGTTGGGTGCCACACCTTTTTTTTTTTTTTTTTTTTTTTTTTTTAAATCATACATTTTCGTTAGAATTAGCCACTAAACTGACAATGTAAAATAGTTATACGTTTCCTTGAGATCAGGCTGCTGAATCTGAACCTAGATTATTATAGTGAATGAAAATAAACGAAAACATTTGTTAACTGAAATAAAAACTAATTAAAAAAAAAAAAAAAAATAGAACTCACAGAAACCTATATTGTGCATACAAAACTATTTAAAATTATAGCAGAAAGTTCTTTGTTTTCATCTTTGTAAACGTATTTAATACATAAATCGATTTACTTCGATGCCATGTGTTTGAACCGTATGGCACATATGAGTCTTTAATCCTGCTGCCATTGGCTAGATCAAGCCGATCCTCCTCCAGTCAGTCCTTGTTGCTCCTGCCACAAAAAAAATCTACTGGACATGACAGCAGCACAGTGACAGCAACAAATACAACCTGAGCAGACACTTAAAAGTATAATTTAACAAATTTGTGATCCTGATCAGGAATGAAACATTCTTTATAACCGGATCTTCTATTTGAACCAGTTCACCAAATTGAACTGAATCATTTGAAACTATTTGCATTTCCAGTAAACATTTATCAGACTTTTTAACATGTCTGATACCCCCTCTGACACGAAAGAAACCAATTTCTCAAGTTTCTTTATTCTGTTGAACACAATATGTATTTTTGAAAAAGGCTGGAAACCTGTAACTAGTAACCTGACTTCTATTTTATTTGTTTTCCTGCAATGAAAGTCAATGTTTACAAGTTTTCAGCTTTCTTCAAATTATCCTTTGTGTTCAAATTATCCTTTGTGACATTTTATAAAGGTCATCTGAGGGTGAGTAAATAGTGTGTGCTTTTGCGTTAAGGGAGAGTTCAGACAAAACCCAAACATTTTCCAACATTCCAAACATGTTTTGTCTTCTAGATGTTTACACCTTTATTTGTTTATATAGCTGAAAACAAAATGGTAGGTCATATACTTTCAATGTATTTAAAGGAATAGTTCACTTAAAAAGTCGAAAAAATCATCTCCATTTACTCGCACTTAAGTGGTTCCAACCTTTTATGGATTTCTGTCTTCTGTTGAACACAACATAAGATACTGAAGTCTGAATTTTTTTCCAGTAAATCTCAAACAGGTTTGTGACAAATGACAATTTTTTGGCTGAACTATCCCGTTAAACTGAAATATTTTAATACATAACAGAAAGTCAAATGTTTGGAACAAAAAAATAGCTTCATTTTAAAAGCTGGCAAAATGTAGAACCGATTCATTCAGTAGAGAAAACATAAAGTGTTGCCAAATAAGACCGACAAATCATGCTCTTTAGCTTAAATATTATCTGTCTGCTCTACACGTAGTACTGCAAACGGCTAGAATCAAATTCTCTTGTATTTTTAGTTCCACTACCATGTCAAGTTGCCCTTGGGACTTTGCCATCTGCTTTCTGTACTTTTCTAAAACTAGAGGCGATAAGATAGGCTTTAAAAGTAAACGATTACTCAATGACGTCGTCAAAACAGCCGTTTTATCTGATCTTTCTCCAGAGTTTCTTATAATCTGGCAATGAAGATTCTGTTTCTTTTTACAGAAAGTTTCTAAACGGACCTGTTGCTTCTTGAGTTTCTGTTTCAAGTTAAAAGTAGGCCAGCCAGGGTGGAATGTAGTGTATTGTGATTATGGGATGGTGTAGGATGGTTTACACCTTTTTATCCCCAAGCTAGCCCCAAGCACCCTAGTGCAGGGTGGAGACGGAGGAAGAGAACAGACCTCCAAAACCCCTTAGGGGCTTACATTCCAGGCCATGCCACATCGCAAGTTTTGAATACCAGATTTGCTGCTTTTGTAAGAGGAACAATGATATTGTTGGTGTTTCCCAGCAGTCATTTTCAACAGCATTTTGAGGTAGTGCTGAGCAAATTGGTCTGAAATCAAAATCTCGATTAATTGAACATTTTAACTCAATTAATGAACGATTATTTTATTTATTTATTTATTTCATTTTTTTGCCCTCATAGTTCACTGACAAGTTTTGTACAGTAAATATGCTTATATATGTGAGAGATTTTTGTTTAAAGGGTGCATTACTTGGTTTTAAAACAATTGAAGGAAACATGCTATCTACTATCTATGTTTATTTACTGAACATCAACGCTGAATAACTGGTTAAAAACACACACTACCTAAAACAAACTTTTCTTATAAAAAAAGCAAAAATGAATAACTTGAACTTTTGGAAACAAAATAAATGATTTTTATATTAAAGTATAAAATAAGCAATATCTCTTCTAAATAAATATCTCTTGGATATCATGTAAATAATATTTTAAACAGTGCATTCACTGCATCTTCTGTAAACAAATATTTTAATGTAATGAAAAATGTGCCATATCAAGGCATCTCAGCTCAGCTTACAATCAGTGTGAATGTAGTGCAAAGTAAAAGGCTCAAGAATGAGTCTATTGTCCTGCTTGACCAGAGATCAGATGTGGCTGCAAAGTGGCCACGAAAGTAAAAAAAACCAGCCTCAGCCTAACAGAAATTGAAATTCAATAATTAGATGAAAAAAAAATCGACCAAAAAAAAAATTTGATCGATTATAGGTTCTGAATGTCGATTTCGATTATTTTTTGATAAATCGCCCAGCCCTATTTTGAGGGCTGTAAATTTTGATTTAATTGTGCTTAAGTAAACTGATATGTCCAAATAGGTTAGAAATTAGTCCATGAAGGGCAAAACTGTATGCAACATTATAAAAGTATTATATATACACAGTTGAAGTCAGAATTATTAGCCCCCCTTTAGATTTTTTTTTCTTTTTTAAATATTTTCCAAATGATGTTTAACAGATCAAGGAAATTTTCACTGTATATCTGATAATATTTTTTCTACTGAAGAAAGTCTTAATGGTTTTATTTCGGCTGGAATAAAAGCAGTTTTTAATTTTTTAAAACCATTTTAGAGTCAAAAATATTAGCCCCTTTAAAGTTATATATATTTTTGACTGTCTACAGAACAAACCATCAGTATACAATAACTTGCCTAATTACCTTAACCTGACTTATTAAAACTATTATGCTTAGAAGTGTGTTGAAAAAAAAAAAATCTTATCTCTGTTACACAGAAATTGGAGAAAACAAATAAACAGGGGGGGGCAAAAAAAAAAAAAAAACCTCTGAAAAAAAAAATGACTCTGGCTAAACCTGAAAAAAGTCAAGTGGTGCTCACTGCAGAGCCATTTGGGCAGAGCTGAGCTCCAGCGAGGGGGAGCTTGAGCTCCTCCTTTCTTGCACTTCTTCTACGAGTGATGTCACTGGGGGTAGGGTTAGGGGTGGGGTTGGTGTACGCATTAAAACAGCTCATAGGAGGATGAGCGAGAGCTCATGCTCCCCCTCGCTGGAGCTCAGCTCTGTTTAAATGGCTCTGCAGCGAGCACCGTCTCAAAAAAGTACCGAAATATATATATTTTAAATAATAAGTTGAAGCCTTGCCAACAGAATGGAAACTTTTATGACTCTTTGCTTAAATTGTACTGGAATGAAATATGACAATTTTAAAGATTTTCATGGTTTTTCTTACAGAAAAACATTTCACCACTCATCCGTCTGAAGTTGAAATCTGCCTTCAAACACTTCTTTGTAATACCACATTGTGGTTCATCTTGTCTCATCCTGTCAACACACATCAGGTTTCCTGAGTTTTGCTGAGGTAAGAAACTAATGCAGTTTGACATTGCATAGTTACTTTTGCGACAGCAGAGTGTGGGTTTTGTGTGATCTAAAAGAGATATGGTAGAAGCAAGACAAAACACAGGCTAGGCTTTTATGCTGATGCATAGTCAAAAACACTGGTCATCATCAGTAATACTTATAGGCCTACCGTACTTTGCTATATAAAAAAACTCAAGCTTAAATTAGAATGTTATTGGAGCTCCTAAAATGTCCCAATCATCACCTTGAGTGATTGAGATAAATCCTACAGTAATTCTCATCTTACAGTCACAGGAGTCCAGCAGCTGGTGGTCACTCGGAAATACCCACAAATACCCCAGCCGTGTCAGTTTCAGGGGCTGCCCACCATCTGACCATGTGGGGGGTGGATGGGGGGTGTTGGATATAGCCTCAGGTCAAAAGAGCTCAACCCAAATCCCCATTTCTATTGTCTAACCGAAGAAAATTGAAAGAAAGACAACTGAAAAAGTAATTCTATTCACATTTAATAACATAGTGCTTTTTACAATGTAGATTGAGTCAAAGCAGCTTAACATAGATGAGGAAAACAAGAATAAAATAACATGAAATATAACACAAAGCCATGAAATATGATGATGTAATGATCATCTTGACTTGGCTAGGAATTAAAATGTACTGGGACAGTAACAGGCATCAGGTCAGGAGACATCATGCTGGAATGTTTTATGGATCGGAGTCTGCTAATAGAAGTGGTCAGGCAGAAGAATTCTTCAGCTCGAGGGATGAGATCAGACATGTGATGCAGAAGGTCAAGTAGCACAACATTTTCTACAGAGATTAACCTCTCAAGTCTTTGAAGAACATTTTGAGTTTGGGAGGATTTTCATGCATGGCTCACCAGTCCCTCAATGGTCACTTTAGGAGGGAGGTTTTTGCCTTAGGAGTTTTGTTATCAATGAATTACATGGCTGCTTTAGATTTGTCAGATGCAAATCATTAATGTGAATCTCCAGTTCCAACACAAAGAATTCTCTCTACTGGACTGAGGTCTGGTGACTATGAAGAGCATTTAAGTTTAGTGAAACTGGAATATTGTATAAAAAAACTGGCAAACAAAGCACCACTTCCACCCAAAGAGTCACGAAAAAAGAAAAATAGACTTTGCTGTGGTAGGAGAAGCCAATGTGACATATATAATGACTAAATGTTTTCTTATATAATAAATTTTGATCCTCATAAGACTAAGACCAAATGAAATAAATGGGCAGTGGCCTTTGGAGGCTCGAGACCGCTGTTTGGGGAAGCAGACACTCAGGACAGTTCTGGTAGGCAAAAATGCTGAAGCACCTTAATGACAGACTTTAGCCAAAGGATTTTACAAAGACCAAAACAACATATTAGATATTTTGCAATGTGGCCGGTTTGCTGGATTTTTCATTAAAGTCATCCCATAGAAACCATTTTTTTTTAATCACATGATCTGTTATAGCCAAAAATGACTTTTTTAATGAGCTTGCTGGAATTTATAAGGTGCACATTTTTCTTTATCAATTTTTCTTTATTCATTCATTTTCTTCTGCTTGTCCGGGGCCGGGACGCAGGGGCAGCAGTCTCAGGAGAGAACCCCAGATTCCCTCTTCCCAGACACTTCCTCCAGCTCCTCCGGGGGATTCTGAGGGGCTCCCAGGCCAGCCAAATGACATAGTTCCTCCAGCGTGTCCTGGGTCTTCCTCCAGGTCTCCTCCTGGTGGGACATGCCTGGGATACCTCACTAGGTAGGCGTCCAGGAGGCATCCGAAACAGATGCCAGAGCTACCTCAGCTGATGTCATACCTGCCAACATTTGTATCTAAAATTCTGGGAGAATGGGGAGTGGGGTTGGGGGATGTTTGTCTGAATAACACAGTTGAGAACTGGGTTAGTAACAGTACTGTGGTGTTAGTAACTTTACTATGGATCGGGTTTTGGGTGGCTGCTGTGATCGAAAATTAAAGTTGGAGACCCAGAGGTGTTTCAGATTGTACCAAAAAGCGCAATATCGGAAATTACGGAAAACAGGAAGGTCGCAGGAGATGGGTCTGAAATACTGGAGGATCCTGAGAAAAACCGGAGTGTTGGCAGGAGTCTCTCGATGTAGAGTCGTTGCAGCTCTACTCTATCACTTAAACACTAAAACCTGAACCACACTGTTCCAGTTACTGAACCACACTGTTCCAGTTACTATGACCATTTATGTGAAGCTGCTTTGACACAATCTACATTGTAAAAGCGCTATACAAATAAAGCTAAATTGAATTGAATTGAATCACTCCTCCCGGGTGACAGAGCTTCTCACCCCATCTATAAGGGTGCACCCTGCGAAGGAAACTAATTTTTGCCACTTGTATCTGAGATCTTGTTCTTTCAGTCATGACCCAAAGCTCATGAGCATAGAAAATGTATGTGCATATTGGCCTTTCCGTTAAGCATTTTTATGCAATATTCTTAAGTGCAAATACAAAAAAGTGGATGGAAACAAAGCTACTGTACTGTTTAAGAAACCAGTTTTAGATAATTCAACCATGAACATTTAGGTGCATCCATGCACATTGCAGTTTTCACATACCATTAATACAAGGTAAAATTACCTGTGGAGTTCAAAAGGACCATATAGAGGTGGGAATGTAAAATATAATAAATATTCTATTGACCACTTCTTAAAAGGAAAGTCAACACTCTAGGCTAACTGATTAAATAGTTTATTGAAAATGTATTATTATTATTATTATTATTATTCCATTGTAAGCTTGTTTTTCTAGTCTAGGCAACCTTAGACAACACACCTGTACAGGAAAGACTGGCGGTTAATATGTAGGTGAAAATGCATTGTTGATGTCAGAGGATGAATAAACTGGTTCTGCTGACAGAAAGGCAACAGTAACTCAATTAACCACTCATTACAACTGAATTCTGGAGAAGAGCCTATATCTGATCACCCAACACATCAAACCTTGAAGCAGATGAGCTACAGCAGCAGAAGAAAACACTGTCGGATACAGCTAACTGAAACCAGCCAGATTTCACGAGCAGTCATTATTTGACAAATTTGTCAGAAAGTGACTAATTTGTACAACTTATAGAATTGATTTTTAAGGGAGGCATGGCCCCAAACTCCATCCTTAAACCTACCTTTCATTAGGGGTTGAGCAAATGATTCACCGAATCCATTATTAATGTGAAATAATGCTAAATACTGATATGTGAAAGAGAACATTTGATTCTGTTACTTATGATTATTTAATTTGACTTGACAATAACAGAGTTTAAATATTTCACATTTTTTTTGCTTTAGCTTAAGATGCAAACTTCTAAAACAGAATGTTATGTATAGCCTTCATAATATTTTTTTTTTAAGTGAATGAAAATTTCACTGAAATATCAAAGTAACAGAGTTGACAAATAATTCATCTGCTATTATGAGTGTATCCTAAACACATTGTACAAATTATTGAAAAAAGAAAAATGTCTTAGCGCTTTCCAGAGTTTACCATCACAATGAAGCAAGTCACATGCTATTTCTAGTAGTGTTATAAGATATTACTTTCATAACTGGTGTAACAGAGTTGACCAGAATGTAGGTATACTCTCAGAAATAAAGGTACATGAACTATCACTGAGGCAGTACCTTTTCAAAATGTACCAATTTGTAGTACCAAAGGGTCCATAATGGTACCTCAAAGGTACTTTTTAGGTACAGTTGGGTACATACCTTTGAGCTACCACTGTGGACTCTTTGGATACAAATATGTATCTTTTGAAAAGATCCCGCCCCGGTGACAGTTTCCGTACCTTTATTTATGAGAGTGTACTGAAAAAAAAAAATATATATAACTGAAATGACAAATAATACACAAAATGTATGTTTTATGCAAATGTTTAACATGTTAAACACAAACTAGATGAATATTTGGCTTAATTATAATTGAAGCTGAATGTATGATTCCAGAGACAGAGACTAATAGTGAAAAAATATTCAAGCTAATATTTTCAAGATAAAATGTCAATAAAAATATACAAACTATAGGTGGGCATAGATTCATTTTTTTAAATCTAGATTAATCTCACTGCCATCTTTGAATTAATCGAGATTAAAATGGCTCATTTGAATTCTGCCGAAGGCATTCAGAATATGTGTGCTACCCAAACAACGACTAAAAGCAAGTCTTTGAGAACAGGTTTCTCAAGCCAGGTGGCGCATTAGACCAGTGGCGCATCTCCTGTTTTCAAAATGCATCACAAACCTCATGAGAAACTGTTCCACTATGATAATCGGTGATGAAATAAATGCTGGATAAGATGTACTTGTGTTTACTAACTGTTCATTCAGTTAAACATGAGTTTTAAACTGTAGGCCTACATAAGCTCCAAACAGCGATTTTTGATTACCTTAATCCGACTAAAGTCAGAAGTGAACTAAACAGAAATGGAATTAAGATGTGGAGTATGCATATGTTAGTGGCATTATTAAAGTAAAGATCAAACTATTACAGCGCCATGTAGGACTTTTAGCCATATTTTCCGACAAGATCCACACATCCGGCTGTCAGTAAAGGACTGCACACACACACACCGTGGAATGCAGAAGTTTTTTTTTCTTCATTTGGCGTGCATTATTAAATTCTATGGCAGTCTTACACCAGTCCTTACTCCTTATTTGCATCTAATACCCCAGTTTGTCATGGGGCATGAATGAAATGTTCGTGAGTTAAAATGAAACTGCCGAACTGCAGTTAAAGTCAACCAAACTTACAGAAAATTCTTACATGGAAGCACTTCACGTAAACACCTCAGTTATATTATTGTCTATTAAAGCAAATAACTAGATTTCAGATGTCCATGTAAATAAGTCAGTAGCGTCTTCAAAGTAAGTGAAAAATCTAGTAGGTCATCCTGCTGATTTGATTCAGAAGGGCACTTTTTGTCAGACGACTGGTTTGACTTTCATTCATTCGCTGTCATTCCTTTTAAAAAGCCCCCGCTCCATTTTATTTGTATATGTTTTACTCGAACGCATAAACTCTACAGGTGTCTGATAGTTAGATGTGGAGCTAACATTAATCAGATTCACTCTAGTAAACTGCATCCATGTTAGCACGTCAAGTTTGATGTGGTAATTTTCCAGTAGGAATGCACAAAGGTACGGAGACTCGTTCTCGCCACCAACAGTGCAATTCAGCCAGGTATGCATCCGCCCTAAAATATCAAGGTGAAAGTCATCTTAGCTTGCGTAGAATAGACCCAGCTCCCAACCCAACTTTGAGAACAGATTAATGGCAATATTTTTTTTTATCGTCTTGATAACGGCCCACCACTAATACAAACATAACATTTTTTAGAGATAGCTTTTTATATTTTATGCAAACATTCAAAATAGTTTCATTAATGTTTTTGCTTTCAATTTGAGGTTTATTTAGGACACACTGACACATATACCCGAAATTCTAGAGTCACCCATATAAATATAGCTTCTTAAAATCCCCCTATAGCTATGCTGGTTATACTGCCCTTATACAAAGCCCACAAGTGGCTGTGTCTTGGTGTAAATATAGTATGTGTGTGAGTGTGTGTGAGTGTAGGGGGAAGGCTGTCAAACATGGTTCACGATGTTTGCACTTCTAACCAGATGACTAAAACAGGAAGAACAACTGAGACGAGACTTTGTGTTGCTCTCCATTCACTGGAAGACCACATGCGCTTCCTCTTTTTCTTAACTCTCATAATTTCTGTGAGCTCAGGAAAAAAAAACGAAGCTGTCTGCTCAGTACAGTTATGCAACACTGCAATCATAAAATGTATCCCTGCTATTTAACTAACTGCTGGTTGCTTTTTTAGGAGACACCTACATAAAAATGTTTTGGTGAAGCTCAATGGTTCAAATTAAATACCAGTTAAAAGCAATCTGTTACATTTATCTTCATGTTAAAGGGAGCTGCTTTATTTGCACATACTGTAAATGCTGTCATCGTGCCTTTATGTGCACTTAGTTCTGGAATGATTTATTTTCACCTTTTAGGAGCTATATCCGAAAAGTGGTCAAATATCAAATATAATGCATTTAGGCTATATCATAGGTCTCAAACTGGATTCCTGGAGGGCCGCAGCTCTGCACAGTTTTGCTCCAACCCTAATCAAAAACAGCTAATCCAACTACTCAAGGTGTTCAAGACTTCGAGAGACTATTAAGCAGGTGAGAGTTGGAGGTGGTTGGAGCTAAACTACACAGAGCTGCGGCCCTCCAGGAATGAGGTATATGCACAGCTAGTTTTAAAGCCAATGATTAACTTACAGTGAAAGCTTAATGCGACTATTCGTTGATTTCACAAGGTTCCTTTTACAACATTGTAATGTTGTACAATGTTGTAATGTAATTAAAATATGATCAGTGAAATAGACTTCAGCGTCCATTAAGTTGTTCTAGCGTAAAGCGTGATCAAAGGCTGTGTAACTGCTAGCGCCGTCAGGATCAGCAGGCGAGTGCAGAAACTCCATTGAAAACACTGAGGTAATACAAACTGTCGTATTCAAAATACATGGTGGGGGAAAATTGAATTGAATTCAGTGCTTCTTGTCCGATCTGAGACCCACTTCATATCGCATATCTAACAGGCAGTGAAGATTGTGGTTTTAAAGAAATCTAATTTTAAACGTGATAATTTTGTAATGCAAAGACAGTTCACCAGAAGCCCTTGAGCTGCCTGACTAAAAATTAAAAGTCTGTGAGCATATAGCACATTGAGTTTGAGACCATTGGGCAATATGTCTGAGTTATTTTTATTTAACCCATTGAAGACAAAATTATTAGCCCTCCTGTTAAATTTTTATTTTGTTTCAAATATTTCCTAAGTGCGGTTTAATTTTTCAG